CTTCTCCAAGATGTATCCAAGCAATGGAAGGCCAAATGACTCTATGAACATGAATTCTCCTCAAATTTTCGTAGCAAAGGGTAGCACTTTTCTCCCAATCTATTGGTTTTCAAGGCCTAATACTAGTATGGTTGGATTGGGATGATGGTTTACATGAAATTTAGTGACAAACTTTGTGGATTTTGGTGAGGTATTGTGTGAGAAATCAAAGCTTGAAGCTTGCTCCTATTCTCCTCCATGGTCGCGGGTTTATGCTGGAAAAAGGGAAGGGAAGTGGATGATGAATAGTGAATCTTAGGTGGCTTAAGTGGACTTAAGTGGGGTGGGGCCCACCGCCACCTCACGCGTTTCAAACCCGTTTGAATTTCCCTCTGATTCCACTAAACATCCATAAATTTAAAACCTATTTAGAAACTCTAATTTTTAACATTAACCATTGTCCTTTAATTATACTTGATCAGATGAATCCGGAGTTTTTCGGTGGTTCAGAGAAAATGTTGTTTTAAGCTGTTGCGCACGTCGTTGACACGCTTCCCCAAACTAACTTACTTCCATCAAATTTTATCAAAAATCGTATTTCTTAGTTCTATAGACCATTTATAACTCATATTTAAAACCTAGAGCTCAAAACTCAATCAGCACGTTTTACGGTGCAATCGTACCGCGGTATTTTTACCCGGTAAAAATACTATTCACTGATTTTTCTAAAACTTGCCTATCCACTCAATTTTTCGTTTTGAATTCATTTCTAGTGTTCTTTTTATCATCTGAGACCTTCTACTAAATTTCCTTCCTAGGGTTCTGTGCGTGGCTAATTTACCATTTTGCCCTTTCTTTGTTTTTGGCCTTATATTCAGGATTTTTCACTAATCCTTCTCTTTAATTCTCATTTAATATTTTAATATTTAAACTTAGGAATGCGAGGTGTTATATGTAACCTTTATGTTTAGGACTGTAGCCTATGAAGATGCATTTGACTGATCTAAAGTTAATTTTGTGTCTGTTGTAGGGTTTTAAGTAAGGATAACAAGCACAACCAAATGTCTTTAAGTAGGTGTAGTCAGGCGTTTTGTGAAATAGCATTTCAAATGGAGATTTATGGTTGAGTGTAGGAGTGGGAAATTTGTTGATAACAAATGTAGCAATGAGAAATGCATCTTCCCAGAACTTGGTAGGTAAGTGTGAGGCTGCCAATAGGGCTAGACCAGTCTCAACTATATGTCTGTGTTTTCTCTCTGGTTTCCCATTTTTTTGATGGGTGTATGGACAGGTTAATCGATGAAGAATTCCATGCTGTTTTAGCAGAGATATAGTTTCAAATATTCTTTTCCATTATTAGTTTGAAGGGCTTTAATTTTGTGTTAAGTTATAATTTTGCTATAGTTTTGAATTGGGAAAAATTTCAAATGTTTGTGATCTGTTTTGCATAGGGTAAATCCAAGTGTAATTTGAGTAGACATCTACAAATATGATGTAGTATTTTGAACCAGAAGTACTTTTTATTGGTGCAGAACCCCATATGTCAGATAGAACAAGTTTTAATGGATTTTTGTAGATAGTAGTAGTATTTGGTAGATGTAGTTGATGCATTTTTGCCATACAACATACACAACACAGTTTTGAATCAGTTTTATTGATAAATGGTATGTAACAATGCCTCAGAACTAACTTTACAGTTTGAAGAGAGGTATGAGCTAATCTTGAATGCCAAAGATCTAGAGTAGAACTTCTAGATGTATTATTACAAGTAATATTTGAACATGGATTTAGAGCTACAACAATAGTGTCATGACTTGAAACAGTCTCAATAGTGTTTCTTTTGAGTTTTTGTGGACCATCATCGAATGCATAAAGTCCATTCTTAAGCTTGCCTTGGAGAAGGATCTGCTTGGTAACATAACACACATTAGCATGGAATTCAGAGAAGACACTATGCTCTTTAGCAAATTGGGAAAAACTTAATAGATTTTTTGATAAGCCAGGAACATGTAATAAGTTTGATAATGTAAGTGACATAGGACAGATAGTAGAATGTAAAATTGAGTGTCCAATACTTTTGATTTTCAAGTTAGAGCCATTACCTACTTGAACAGCTTCTTGACCATTGTACCTTGCTTTGTTCATCAGGTTACTTGCATCAGGTGTAAAATGATTGGTAGCTCTTGAGTCAGGATACCAACTCGAATCTGTGACTGAGAAGTAGTCAGATAAAGCACCATATTGACTTGAACCACTATATGAAACTATATCTTCTTGTTGATGTGGATTAACACTATTGGTGACAGCCATATTCGCTTGAAAGTTTCCATTTCCAATGTTGTTACTGCTGATGTTTTGAGTAAAAGGACTTTGAAAATTTTGATTATACCTGTGATGACATTCCCAGCCAAGATGACCATACTTTCCACATACTTGACACTGTGGCCTATTTCCATTTCCATAGAATATGCCTCCTCCTTCTCTTTGAAATCTATTTCCTCCTTTGTTACCAGAAAATCTTCCTTTATTATGATTGAATCCACCTCTATTGTTTCCTGGAAAATTGCTTTGTCTCCTAGCTTGCAATTGCGTCATATTTGCTTGCATAGTTACTGCAAGATTTCTTTTGTGCTTTTCAAGTCTTTGCTCCTGAGCCATGAGTAATGCTTATATTTCTCCCACAGTGTAGGGATCAGATCTGTAAATTACTGAAGTTACAAATGAATCATAGTCTTCATTTAGACCATCCAATTTAGCATCAATGTGATCTTCTGTATCGATTTGTGAACCAATTGCAGTAAGAGAATCTACAATCTTCTTGATCTGAAGCAGGTATTTGGAAACATCTCCTTCTTTCTTTGTATTTTTCAACTGAATTTTCAGCTGCTTAACTTTCGCCCTTGTTTGTCAGGCAAAGAATTCCTCAAGTTTTTGCCAAACTTGGAATGAGCTTGTGCATCCCACCATACAAGTATATAGGATTTCTGACATAGAAGAAATAAGCCATGACAGAAGAAGTTGATCTTGTTGAGTATGAAGATCCTTTGAGCTAGAGCTTCGAGAATTTTCACCACCAGTAGCAACACATGTAGCTTCCTTTTTAGCAGGTGCTGAATCTTGCAATTTTTTAGTAATGAATCTTGTTAAATTGTAAGCTTTGATTGTAGTTGATGCATGTTGTTTCCATGGCAGAAAATTATCTCATTCAGCTTGAAAGAGACAAGATTAGAGAAGGTGTGAACAAAGTTTTGTGCAAAATTGTTGGTCTTCATGGATCTAAGCAGCTCTAATACCATGAAAGGTGTCAAAGCTATGATGAAAGAAATGAAAGATGAGAAAGAGAAAACGTGAAATGAATGAGCTCAGAGAAAAATGTTTATTGAATAATGAACCACCGTACATTTAGAGTAAAGCTATAGTCTTATATACACTAAGATTGGATAAGCTCAGCTATACATCTGTAACTGAATAACTAGGAGTTTGTTAGAGCTGAATAACAAAAGTGGATCTGTAACTGAATCCATTGGGCCTCTATAGCTATCAACTGTGATTGCAATGAATAAGACACATATCTGTCCTTGATCAAGATATATGTTAAATGTGGGAAAGAAGTAGATTGGATTTTAGAGAGTATAAAAGCGGATAATATAGAGCTCGATGAAGAGATAGAGGAAATTCTTAACTTAAGATTGCCATAATATTCATTTTTTCTTCCTCCAGGTTTTTGTCTTTCAACCATTTATGTGTTCAAATTTTATTTTATTTTTGTATACAATGGTAGCCCTGAGATTTGAACATATAACTTTATAGGGATTATCCAAATCTCTCACCACTAGATCAATCCTAATAGCTTATATTTATGTGTTCAATGAATACATAACCTCTAGAGATTCTAAGATTGCATTAATTGTGCTTAAATCTATTTAAAAATAGCTTTTATCACTATAGGGACAATGCTTTTATCTAAAGAAGATTGGGCCTCTGATGCTGCAATATAGTTGGATGTAATTTACTGTGAATTGAAGAATTAGGTAATAAGGTCGTGCAGATTATGACTTAAACCACAATTTATGGCATGGATGAATTTTTTTAGTTTTTGGGATTGCGTATGCCACATATAGGTTTTATTAGTTCCAATTAATTTTTCACTTGATAATGCGACTTTTACTTTATTGATCTATTATTGATCGAGTTACACCTAGAATTTTGCTTTTCTACATTTGCATTGAACAGGTGAGCACTGAAACAATAGGAGTTCGAGCTACTTAATATCAATGATGGTATTGCGTTTATCCGTAATGGTTTAATAGCCATATAAGTGGTGTTTAAAAACTCGGCCAGGCTATTGATTGGGCTGAGTTCAAGGGTCACGTGGTTACGGGTTCAATCGAGGGATCACAGAATCATTTTGTTGTCTCGATTTTATACATTAAAAAATATAGACATATATCCTATGAAAAATTCTAAAAATTCAAATCATCACTTATCAAAAATTTAAAATATACTTAACATAATTCAACCAATTATATCCATAAGTCAATATTACACAAGTTAATCAAAGTATCGAACTATCAGAGTATAAAGCACAAATTTCACTAGAGTTAATGAAAAGTTATATCATCAAATTTATTTCCTCTTTGTCTTTCTCACGCACCTACAAGGGCATGTGAAAGGAGATCCTTTACCCAAGAGAGAACGACGAAGGTGAGGCGGCAGCGCGACAAAATCAATGGTGGGGAGAGAAGAACCAGCACGACGGAGAAGAGGGAGAAAGAAGACCGAAGAGGATAGGAGGAATCACCACCACGGTGGAGGAGATCACCGGATCAGGGAGATTAGGTCTAGGTCTGGGAGAGAAGATTGGAAGAGAATAAGAACTATTCAGATTTTAGATCTAGTTTTAGATCTAGGCAACAACGAGTTTTTTGTTTTGTTTTATTTTTATTTTTTATACACCCAACGACATTTTTTCGTGTGTAATTTTTTTTTAAAATGCAGTGATTCCTTCCGACCCGGGAGTCATGGGTTCAACTGGGGGGTTTCGGAGGTATGAGGGGTCAACATGCATGCATGGTCTAACTGCTGACCCCAACCCTCAAATAGAGGGGGTCAGTGACTTGGCGGGGTCGACCTCAGAGCGGGGCAAGATTTTAAAATATTGCATATAAGGTGAAAGTTCATAATGTCTACAAAATATCTCTGAGTATATCTAAGGGAAATACTAGCTCATGTTATAGGAGAGTAGTACCTCATGTCATAGACACAAAGTATATGGGGTTCACTCTTTTAAAAAATAAATAAATGAGTGAGCCCCACATGTTTTTTGTCCATGACATGAGATACTAGTCTCCTACAACATAAGACTAGTATTCCCCTATATTTAATCTAATGTTAATTTTTTTTTTAAAGATGTTTAGCATATTCAATTAGTTTGAAGAAATTGACAAGGATTAAGGTGAGTACAAAGTGCCCATAATATAAATCTAATGAAGTTGATGCATGAAAATATGATGCGTCACGATTTACTACCTATATTAAAGTTTAAGTTCTATGAGAATTAAACCTCATAAATTATGAATTATGGTTTAAGCTTCTAACAAGAATTTAAATCACATAAATTGTGAATTATGATTTAAGCATATAATGAAAAATAAATCACATAAATTATGAACTATGGTTTAAGCATGTTTATAATGTGAATTGAACTATATAATGTTAGATTTACCTTTGATGGAATATGATACTTGAAGGTGGTATTCTAAGGATACCTAGCCAAGCCTATAAATTACCTGCGTGATCATTTACGTTACATTGACATTTAAAAAAAATTTAAGTGTCGTGTTTGATACTCCTCGACACCCTGACACATCCCGACACTCTGACATGCTCCAACATCTATAATATTTGAAATTTCATATTATATCATGAAAAAATTGATCGATGTTTTACCAAATTGATATAATAAAAATTAAAAATAGAAACCAAATAAATCTCATTGGAGTGAATAAGAGATTTTCAATTAGAAAATATAATAGTAAATATTTATATCTTACGTTTCTTTACAAAATTGATGGGTATTATAAGTATAGTTTTATTATTTTGTTAAATTATTGAATATTAAATATAATATACACTATATAAATTAAAAATATTATTTAATATCAAAATATATACTAACGTATCGAAATCTAAATTTTTTTGAATTAACCTATCAGAGTAGAGTGTTTAGTCATGTCCCATGTTCAGTTTCAATATCGGTACAACATAGATTACTGTTACTATAGCACCATAAAATTCAAGAATATGCTGTAGATTATCAGATCACTTACACATTTTGTGACTCCAAACTTCTCTTCAGGGAGCGCTTGGTATTCAGATTATATTTGAATTCCTGGGAAAGCATGTTAGGGAAAATTATAATACCATGTTTGGTAGTAAAAAAGGGAAAAGTTTTTCGGGTAAACATTTTTCCCTATTTTTGCTGTTGTGCGTAAAGCTATGTACGACTACCATCTTAGAAAGTACATGGATTAGGCGGAATAGTTTTTTGCCCGGAGAAGTGAAAAAGAAACCGAATTTATGTGGACCAAATTAACGTTGCTTTTTTGTATGATCTGTTCGTGAATTGACCTGGTACCAAATGACCTGTGCACTTTAATCAGGATATTCCTCAAGCTCATTGTGATTTCTCACCTGACCAATCTTCCTGCACTGCACTCTTCGATTTGCTTGTGGATGTTGGGGCCTGCAAAGTAGCAAAATCCTTGCTTGATTGCTCAGGTTTTACTCCTGAGCCTGCCTCTTTGGAGTGTTACATTTGGTGTCTCTGCAGTGAGGGAATGGTTGAGGATGCACTTGATATGTTTCTTATATTGAGAAAGGTTGGATTTTCTCCATCGGTGGCAACTTGGAAAGCATCTTTGTTAGGTTGTTTGAAGGTTGGTAGGACTGATCTGGTTTGGACATTGTATGAGCAAATGATGGAAATAGGAAGAGAGGTGAGGGGAAATCTAGAAAGAAACGAACCGGGTGAGAGGGAGACAATAAGGTAGTATTTGGTTTGGGAGAAATTTTTTTTTACTAGAGAAATGTAATTGATAGGAAAATGGTTGGAAAGTGAGTTTGATAGGAAAACGTAAAAATAGTTGTTTGGTTGACCCAAATATTACCAGGGAAATTTATTTAAATATGCAAAATCTATGTTTGGGAGAAACTTTGCACCTGTTTTTTTCACTTCCCCGGTCATCTCAAAATACCACATCTCAAGTGGTATTCTGTAACAGTGAATTTCATCCAAAAATCAACATAAAAGTCATTTTCCCATCTATCCTATTTGTCTGGTATTTCTTAAAAAAACCTGAACCAAACGTGGTATTTTCCAATATCCACCTACACTTTCCCATCAATCCTAAAATAAACCTTCAACCAAACACTACCTAAAGTGTAAGATAACGTTTGATGACTAACATTTTGTCATTTCAATATTAAAAAATAGGGTAATATTACTCTCATGTAACATGAGAGTAGTTCTCTCATGTTACAGAGAGAATCCAAGTAGGGCCCGCTATTTAAAAGCAAAAAAGAAAAAGAAAAAAGAAAGGGCACGATTTTCGAAGTGAGAGAAAAGGAGATAACTACCTCATGTAAAATGAGAGTAGTATTTCCCTAAAAAATAAGGGTAATTTTGTCATTTAAGATAAGATTTTCATTAATATTTTACTATTAACCAAACATAACATCAGTAAAATTAACTCAATATTCTCGTAGCAATTTTGGCCTACCTAACACATTTTCGTAACTTACACAGGAAAAAATATTTCCTATCATATTTCTGGAAATTTTTTTTCTCGATAAAAAAAATTCTCTTATTCAAACACCCCTCAAAGAGAGTTATGTGCCTTTCATTCAAGTGCTATGGCTGGGTATATACAAATTTTTTTTTGAAAATATTTCAATTACTTCATTGCTTGACAGCTAATCCGATTCGGGAATATACAAATTCGATCGTTACACTTTGTGTGCTCTTTTATTCTAAATAAAAATTATATTTGTCAAATTTTATTAATGGGTTTTATTACTCTTCTGTTATAGGTAAAATATTGTCTCCTGCAATAAACTAACGACGTCGTTTCACTTGTTTTTAATTTCTCTAGCTTTCTTTTGTTTTTGTTTTTGTGTAAAACCAACGTATGACAGCAAACTGAAGGCAGAGGGAGTTTGGTGGAGGGAAATGGAAGTCACTGTATGCGCTAAGACCCAAATGCTCAAACCCATCATCACTTAGTTTCTTCCTCCAACTATCGCCCTCACCATGCTGTTATTCTCCTAGTTGGTAAATCTCTCCCCATGCTCTCTTACCTTTTTGCCAAGTTATTGATGCTCTGCCTCCATTCATTTTCATTTTTTATTCTCATGTCAGGGCATAGGGAGCAATTCTTGTGACTACCACAAGTTGGATAAAGAAGGTGTGTTGAAGAGGGAAATCAAAGGCATGATTTTGAAGGAGGAAGAAAGAGTAGAGAGGTGAAGAAGTGTCAGTGGGCTTTGCTGAAATTTCTTCTCTGTGTTAAGGGTATGTTCAAAGTTTCCAACTTGCATTGTTTTGTTTGGTGCTGTATTTCCTTGTACTTGAATCTCACGTTGGGAAATGCTTTATCTTTTGTGGGTTCTCATTTTTTTTGGAAAACTTGAAAAAAAAAATTAGCTACTGTTGTGTGAAACTGAGGAATTTGTCTATTTGATAAGAAAAATATAGAGAAGAAAAATTAAAATTTTTTTTTGGGTGGTTCGTTGGTTTCTTTTGATGAAAGCATCTTTTTTAGTTGAAGTGCTTTGTCTCATTCTCTACTCACTCAAGCTCACACTAAAATTCAATCATGCCATTCATCAAATTTAATGCTGCAATATGTAAAATGAAAAGAGTAACATGTTTCACGAATAAAGGAAGAGGAAACTATAGGAGTTATTTAAATTTTTATATTTAACACAAAAAGTATAAAAATTATGATTTTTCATGCATCAAAATTCAATGTAATTCTTGAATTATAATATTTTGCAGATTTAAAATTCTTCTTCATGATGGGTCACTCTCAAAATGTAACTATTGAAGACATTGATGCAAGTGAAAGTTTAGTATGTGTAGATGATATTGTTGATTTGGAGAAAGACACAAATGAATTTAGGGAAGACGATCTGAGTGAAATCATGGCAATCAAAGATGGTGAATGTGAGGAAGATGATGCATATGAAATTGTGGGACATGTTGATACTGAATTAATGAAGACCCCTATTTTAACTAGAGTTTTTGAGACATCAGAAGAAGCTTATGCTTTTTATAATGCTTACGCAAAAGGTAAGGGGTTCAGAATACGTAAGCAATACCATAACAAGAATGCAATTACAAAAGAAGTATATAGGTGGAATTATGTGTGCTCGAAGCAAGGTGTCAAGAGACTTGATGATAAAAGAGTTGATGTTGACAATGTCAAAAGGCGAAGGGATTCAAGGACTAATTGTTTGGCGATGTTACAAGTAAAGTTGGTGGATGGCCTATGGAAAGTGGAGAAGTTCAATGATACACACAATCATCCATTGATTAACACTCCAACAAAGGTGAAGAAGTTTCTTTCTCAAAATGAATTTAGACGCTCAGACTTGACAAAATCTGTTGTTTCTAAGCTTTATCAAGAGGGTTTAACATCTTCAAAAATCTCAAAGGTTGTGAGTGCTATGGACAAAGAGGTTAACCTTACTCCTGTTCAAATAAACAATATTATATCTAGCCAACGAAGGAATAATGTGGGGCGAGAATGCCAGGGCATCATCAAACACTTTAAGAGGAAGTCCATGGTTGATGGAGCTTTTTATTTTGATATGCATTTGGCAGAAGATGGAACACTAAGAAGCATATTCTGGGCAGATGGTAGGTCAAGAGCTGCATATGCTCATTTTGGTGAAGTCCTTGTATTTGATGTGACTTACAAAACAAACAAGTTCAAGTTTCCTTTTGCCCCTTTTGTGGGGGTTAATCACCATGGGCAAACAACTTTATTTGCTGCCGCTTTGTTAGAAGATGAAACGGAGGCAACATTTACATGGTTGTTTGAACAATTTCGAATATGTATGTTTGACAAGTCTCCTGTTGCTATTATCACTGATCAAGACAAAGCTATGGGAAAAGCAATTGCCAAGATATTTCCAGCAGCACGACATCGTTTTTGCGCATGGCATATAAAGAAACATGTTATGGAGCATAGTCAAGCACTACGTGCACAATTTAAAGATAGTTTTCATGTTGACTTTCGTGCGTGGTATAAAAGTCGAAACATTGATGAGTTTGAGTGCAAATGGGAAATATTGAGGAGTAAATATGTTACTAAAGAAAATAGCTGGCTGGCTAACATGTATGCTTCACGTCATCATTGGGCAAAGGCATACTTGAAAGATACATTTTTTGCCGGAATGACCACAAGTGGCCGAAGTGAGAGCATCAATGCATTTTTTGATGGATATGTCAACTCTAACACAATGTTAAATGACTTTGTTATCCAATATGACAAAGCAATCAAATCTAGGAGGGATGCAGAGGAAGATGAGGATTTCAAAACTAGAAATACAAAAGCAGTTTTGGAGACTAATCATCCTATTGAAGCAATAGCTGGAGAATGGTACACAAGAAAATTATTTGAAATCTTCAAAAAAGAGTGGAAGGATGCCATGCATAATTGTTTTCATGAAAAGATTGCAATGAAGGAAAACCTCATCACATATCGAGTGGGATCTCCTGAAGTTGAAAAAGAATGGTGGGCAATTGTAGAGTATCATTTGACGGAAAGCTTCACAGCTCATTGTTCGTGTGCAAAGTTTGAGACTATGGGGATTTTGTGCAAACATATTCTATACATCATGAAGAAGAAACAAATCATGACCCTTCCTGAAAAATATATCTTGTCTAGATGGACCATGAATGCAAGCTATAAGGCTGAAAATCTTATATCTATTCATGATGAAACAAATACTAATGAAATTAGTGCATTATCTTTGTGGTCGATTCAGTTGAAGTGCACTATGGCTATTTCTGAAGCAAGAGATTCTACTTTTGAGATTAGAAGGTTTGATGCTATGGTTGCTGAATTTCTACAACAACAGTTGGAAAGAAAAAGAAAGAGAGGTGAAGATGAACTAAATGCCCAAAAGATTCCACAAATATTACTCATTGATGATGTGCGTGATCCCACTCAACCTGTCAAAACTAAGGGTCGTCCAAGGATTGCTTCACGAATAAAATCAAGCATGGAGTTGTCAACAAAACAACAAAAATCTTGTAGTTATTGTCGAATGAAGGGTCATAATAAATCAGGTTGTCAGATGCAAAAGGTACTCATTTTGAAATTTTCTATTTATGTTTGTGATTTCCTCTTTAAACTTGATGAAAAATTTATGAAGTTTCATTTGTAGATGGATGTTGCAAGAGAGAAGCAAAAAGAACAGTAGTAATTGCATATATTTTCATGGTTATATTTTGGTAAGAACTTATTTTTGATGAACAATTTTCATGGTTATATTTTTAACTATAATATTTCAATGTATATATGTACTTAACATTTTTACATTTCTTTTTCAGGAAATATTTTGAAGCCCTGTTGGTTTCTTTTGTATATGGACAATACCAAAATTTCACAATGTTTTTTGTAGGGCAATGTTGGTTGGAGAAGTAAATAGCAAAAGCACTGTGGGTTTCAAATATATATGAAGTTTTTCTGTGTATATACAATCACTGTAAGCAGGAGTAAAGAGATGTAAATTTTTTGTGACTTCAATTAGATTTGGAGATCAAATGCAAAGGGATATGAGTTTTTTTTGTTGATTTGGTCATATTTGGTAATCAAATGTAAAGTAAATTGCTGATTTTGATTTGTACAACAATGTAATCTATCAATGTGAGAAATGAATGGAGTTGCTCAAATTGTAATTGCTGAAACTGTAATTGCTATTTATTATGACCATAATGAGTAATAGTGTAATACAATTACAAACATCATCATACATATCACGTAACAATTAGCTTCATGTATTTGTTTAGCCCAAAAAAGGCATCAAATAATTACATTGGTGTTCTAGCAGTATTAACATCAGTAACAAAAGCTCTATCACTTCCTACACTAGCATCTGATGGTGTGACAACATTTACAGGTGCCTCAACTTCATCCACTTTTGTTCCATTTATAGGGATTGCAGAAGGAGAGGCAGGTGATCCAGAAGTTGCTTCAATGACAAGAGCAAGTGAAACAGAACTTGATGGTTCTCCTTGACCAATTAAAGATGAATTATCTGCGCTAGGTGTTGCTTCAATAACAGGAGTTGTAGAGGGTTGAGTATGAGAATTTGGTAATGCTTCAGGACGTGATCCATTGTCAATTGCCTTTTCAACTTGCTCACGGGCCAACTTGAAGTAAAATTTGCAGAAAAGTAATAAGTTGTGCCTTTGACTCCATGGTGATACTGTTTTCCTTAATACCTATGGACATTCATTTAATAAAAGAAAAAAAAATCAGCAATGAAAATGAAGAACAGAAGAAAAAAAGACAAATTAAAGGAATGAAGACCCACTTTCATTGAAGAAATCTGTTTGTAGTTTTAATATTCTCCAAGCAGTGAGTAAAAAATGATATATTCAAACCATTACAATGTGAAACAAATATCATGATGTGTCAAGTGAATATTGAGGATCCTTGATCTGTCAAAAAGTAAAATAATACAGCTACTGAAATAATAGTGTAAAGTGGTTTTGGATGTTAAATCTCCTACTCTGTTGCCCAGAATGAGAGACAAGTGGTTTTGGATCATCTCATATGCTTCAGGTGAGTGAAGCTGCTCAAGTTTCCCATCTGTGTTAGGCCACGAATCAACTACACCAGATGTATCAGGGGTTATGGAAGGTATCAGAGAAATATTAGCATCCATGAACTTCTGCACCACCAAAGCGTACAAGATCTCTTCCAGAGCTTTCCTCCTCTCATTAGCCTTCACCTCGGCAATTCTCCTGAAGTTTGGAAGCAAGAACAATGGTCAACAACTGAATTGTTTTCACACAAACACTTTCAGATTTAGAAAACAGTGGAAAAAGGTAGTAGAATATAAGGATTCAACCGTATGGAATAATTGATGATTGAATATTGTATTATTGACTACTGATACCCTTATTGAATTAAGGAAAACAGTATAAGAAAAGAAAAATGAAAGAAACAATGTTCTAAGGCTTTCCATGAGGCACTAGTGTCTCCCAACTCCCAATTTCTAACCACTCAATAGGCTTCTGCTGTGCTCAATGACCGCCACGCCCCTTTTTCTCTTTCCATCTCCCCTCTTTATTACATATTCCCCATTAATACAGGATTACCCATGATTGATACCCATAATACATAATCTCCCATGACTGATACCCATTCATTCGACAAAAAATGGCACAAAAATTAAATATGCGGCATCAGACAAATTTTATGATACTATATAGTAAAATCTAAAGTTCTAAATTGTAAAATACATAAAAATATTTTGTAGTTTAGAAGCCACCAAATGGATTTCCTTTCATCTAAATTATACCAATAAGCAAGAATGTAACTTCAGAGATTTATTAGCAATAATGAAATAACATGGGCAGAATAACAAATTTTATCAAGTATGCAACAAACCTGTACAAAATTAAATCAGTTTGGAGCTGCTCAAGCTGCTGTCTACCGCAGCAGGCACAAGATACGGGTGATTTATCAAAATTTGAGAAAGAAACTGCCCAATTGGGGATTCCAGCCGAAGAGGAGCAATCTTGGCACTTGATTCAGATGAGTCCAGAGACGATACAACTCTGACTACTAAGCCTCTTCTACTTCCAAAAGAGAGACTCATATGACCTTGCTTGGGGATAGATACAGAGGTGCATAGCTGCCAAACATGAAGAACAATCAGAAAGAATGAAACTAATCTCTTTATTCATGCAATTGCAACTTAATTGGTTGGGAAATATTAGTAATTCTTGACCCAAACAAATCTCATGGTCAGATTCAGAAATAACACAACAACAACAAAACAAAAAAATGAAAAACAAATCAAAATTTCAAATGAAAAAAAAAGCAATCTTTAAGCCGGAACAATACACAATCAAGAGAGAAGACAAGTGTTATTAATTAAGAACAACTATTAGTGAGAAAAGTGCAGTAAGAATACCCAGAATGGTAAGAGTGTCGGAATCGAAAAGGTTAGAGAAAGAGAAGCACCAGAGTTCAGAAGCTTTGCCAGGTCTCACGTCAATTGGATTTGAAGTTGCTTGATCTTGATTCTTTGATGATAGATAGATAAGGTGAGAAGAGAAACAAGAAGATATTTTTTACTGTCGAATGAGAATAAAAAATGAAAATGAACGCGGAGTCAGAGATGAGAAACGAGAAATTAAAAGTGAAACGACGTCGTTAATTTATTACAGGAGACAATATTTTACCTGTAACAGAAGAGTAATAAAACCCTTTAATATAAATTATGGGATTTATTACTCTTATGTTGCATAAAATATAATCTATCTCCTACGCACACAAACTCAAAATGGGTCCCACTTTACTTTCTCTCTCTCTTCTCCTAAAAATGGACCCCACCTGCACCAATGAGTGTGTAGGAGATAATACATATCTTCTACAACATAAGAAAACTATTACCCATAAATTATTTAATTCCTTATTAATATCTCTTGCGATAAACGTAATACATAATAGAGTATAAAATCAAAGGGAAAATATTATCTTATGCTGTAGGAGAGTATTTTTCTCTCCTACACATACATCGACTTCCGTGTTGTTTTTTTTTTCTTTTTTTTCTTTTTCTTTAAGTGAGTGGGTCCCACTTATAACTATCTCTATGACATAAGAAAACTTCTCTTATGTCACATGAGATTAATAAAGCCCAAAATCAAAATACTCAAGACAACACTTTCGTAATTTCAGAATGATTTCTTTTCAGTTTGGCTTTTAATCGCGGCTGAGCTCTATTCTGAGTTTGTATTGATAACCTTGCTTTCTTTCTTTCTTTCCTAGCTCGTGATTCAGTGCAGCGTTAACAAACATTTTCACAAACACTTGGTTGGCATTTTTTGGCAATGGCATCGGCACTGTTCTCCGCAATCCTGCACAAGTCTCGGAACTTCACCTCAACTTTTCTGCTTTCGAAACGATGCTGCTCCACAGACACGAACCCAAGAAACATCTTCTCCAGAATCAGTCCCCTCGGAGACCCTTCAATCAACGTTGTCCCCGTTCTCGACAAGTGGCTCGAAGAAGGTAACGCCGTCGACGGCCTCCAGCTCCAGCGCATCATCAAACACCTCCGTTCCCGCAACCGCTTCACTCAAGCACTTCAGGTCACTTAACTTTTATTTTTATTTTTATTTTTATTATTTCTTCTGCTCTTAAGTTCTCTGCTTCGTTGCTGAGCAAAACAATTGGGGATTTTGAACCTCTGATTTCTGAGTCACATTGCAACAACACCAATGTGCCAAGGCTTCCCTTCACCTAATTAAAAAAATGGAGAAAAAAGAAGTGTCAGTTTTTCTTGATTCATTGAAGGTTCAATTTTTTATGCAAACACCATCTTTATCACATATGAAGGTGACTGTACACAAATGCTGGTGTTATCATAACTTTGGTTCGTATAATCAGTCTCATACAAATGTAAGGTAAAGCTGCTTACTATAGACTTATAGTGGGATGAGATTGCCCTTTTAGTGCCTTTATCACATATACAGAGTACTTAATGTCCACACTCTTGTTAGAGTATAAGTGATTAGTCACAATATGACAACACCAAACAAGATGTGGTAGGGTTGGGGGGAAGGTGGAGAACTGAAATGCTATATTATGTTTCTTTCTTTAAATCGCTCCACAGCCTCCACTTCTTCCTGGTTATAAGGTAATTACTGAGATATCTTCAATCTTGGTATGTTCAGGTTTCTGAGTGGATGAGTAGCAAAGGGCTATGCCCAATTTCATCAGGTGACCAAGCTGTGCAACTAGATCTTATTGGTAGAGTACGTGGACTTGATATTGCGGAGAGCTATTTTCAGAATTTGAGTGGTAAAGATAAAACTGAAAAGCTTCATGGTGCTCTTTTGAATTGCTATGTGAGAGAAGGATTGGTTGATAAGTCACTTTCCCAGATGCAGAAGATGAAGGACATGGGTTTTGCTTCTCCTCTCAATTACAATAATATAATGTGTCTCTATACGCGAACGGGTCAACTTGAGAAAGTCCCTGGTGTTTTGACATTGATGAAAGAGGATGGTGTTTCTCCTGACATTGTCAGCTACAGGATTTGCATTAACTCTTACGGCGCAAGATCTGACATTGTGAGTATGGAGAAGCTGTTGGAGGAAATGGAAAAGGAAAGACACATTGGCTCAGTCTGGATGACATATTCTACGGTGGCTAACATCTATATAAAAGCAGGCCTGAAGGAGAAAGCTCTGATCTGCCTGAAGAAGTGTGAGGATAAGGTAGACAAACGCAACACAATTGCCTACAATTATCTGATTTCACACTATGCAAGTCTTGGGAACAAAAATGCCATGATGAGACTTTGGAAACTCCAGAAAGCCAACTGTAAGAAGCAACTTAATAGGGAATATATAACCATGTTGGGTTCTCTGGTGAAGCTAGGGGATCTTGATCATGCTGAAAATTTACTTGCTGAGTGGGAGTTATCTGGTAACTGTTATGATTTCAGAGTGCCAAACATCCTTCTGATTGGGTATTCCCAGAGGGGATTGATTGAAAAGGCGGAAACAATGCTCCGAAGCATGGTCGAGAAAGGGAAGACTCCTACTCCTGACAGTTGGGCTATCATTGCATCTGGATATGTGGCAAAGGAGAACATGGAGAAGGCATTTCAGTGCATGAAGGAAGCTGCAGCTGTGCAAACCGAGAATAAAGGTTGGAGACCAAAACCAAATGTCATTTCCAGCATATTGAATTGGGTCACTATTAATAGAGGTATAGACGAAGTAGAGGATTTTGTCAATTCATTAAAGACTGTAATTTCACTGAATAGGGACATGTACCTGTCCTTGATCAAGATATATGTTAGATGTGGGAAAGAAGTGGATCGGATTTTAGAGATTATGAAAGCTGATAATATAGAGCTCGATGAAGAGATAGAGGAAATTCTTAACATGAGATTGTAATAATCTTTTTTCTCCCACTAGTTTTTTGGCTTACAGACATTTCAGTGTTCAACGAAGTACATAACCAGAGAGATCTTAAGATAGCAATATTTGTGTTTAGATCTATTTGAAAGCTGCTTTTATCGGCATAGGCCAATGCTGTTGTCTAAAGAAAACTGGGCCTCTAATGTTGCAACATAGTTGGAGGGCAATTTACTGTGTATTGAAGAATTAGGTGATACGGTCACGGGGATCATGACTTCACCTGAAATTTCCCTCTATATGAGAATGGGTCAACTTGAGAAAGTCCCTGGTGTTTTGGCACAAATGAAAGAGGATGGGGTTTCTCCTGAAATTTCCAACTACAGTATTTGTTTAAACTCTTTTGGTGCGAGATCTGACCTTGTGAATATGGAGAAAATGTTGAAGGAAATGGAAAGTCAAACCCACATTGTCACAAATTGGATGACATATGCTATGGTGGCTAACTTCTATATAAAAGCAGGCCTGAAGGAGAAAGCTCTGATCTACCTGAATAAGTGTGAGGATAAGGTAGACAAACGCAATACGATTGCCTACAATTATCTGATTTCACACTATGCAAGTCTTGGGAACAAAAAAGCCATGTTGAGACTTTGGAAACTCCAGAAAGCCAATTGTAAGAAGCAATTTAACAAGGAATATATAACCATGTTGGGTTCTCTGGTGAAGCTTGGGGACCTTGATGAAGCTGAAAAATTACTTGATGAGTGGGAGTTATCGAGTAACACTTGTGATTTCAGAGTGCCAAGCATCCTCCTGATTGGGTATTCCCAGAGGGGATTGATTGAAAAGGCAGAAACAATGCTCCGTAGCATGGTAGAGAAAGGGAAGACTCCTACTTCCAACAGTTGGGGTATCATTGCATCTGGATATGTGGCCAAGGAAAACATGGAGAAGGCATTTCAGTGCATGCAAGAAGCTGCGGCTGTTCAAGCCAAACATAATAAACGTTGGAAACCAGAAGCTAATGTCATTTGCAGCATATTGAGTTGGGCTACTATTAACAGAGATATAGAAGAAGTAGAAGATTTTGTCAATTCATTAAAGACTGTGATTACAATTAATAGGGACACGTATCTGTCCTTGATCAAGATATATGTTAGATGTGGGAAGGAAGTAGATTGGATTTTAAAGAGTATGAAAGCGGATAATATAGAGCTCGATGAAGAGATAGAGGAAATTCTTAACTTAAGATTTCCATAACATTCGTTTTTCCTCCCTCCAGGTTTTTATCTTTCAACCATTTTTGTGTTCAAATTTTATTTTATTTTTTTATACAATGGTGGCCCTGACATTTGAACATATAACTTCATAGGGACTATCCAAATCTCTCACTAGATCAATCCTAGTAGCTTTCATTTCTGTGTTCAATGAATACATAACCCGAGAGATTCTAAGATTGCATTAATTGTGCTTAGATCTGTTTACAAGCAGCTTTTATCACTATAGGGCCAATGCTTTTATCTAAAAAAAGATTGGGCCTCTGATGCTGCAACATAGTTGGGTGTAATTTACTGTGAGTTGAAGAATTAGGTAATAAGGTCGTGCGGATTATGACTTAAACCACAATTTATGGCTCGGATGAATTTTTTTAGCTTTTGGGATTGCATATGCCACGTATAGGTTTTATTTGTTCCAACTGATAAGTTAATTTTTCACTTGATCGTGCGACTTTTGCTTTATTGATCTATTGATCGAGTTACACCTAGAATTTTGCTTTTCTTTTTTTTGTAAATTAGAATTTTGCTTTTCTGCATTTGCATTGAACAAGTGAGCATTGAAACAATAAGGAGTTCGGGGTACTTAATATCAATGATGGTATTGCGTTTATCCATAATGGTTTAATAGCCATATAAGGTGAAAGTTCATAATGTCTACAAAATATCTCCGAGTATATTTAAGGGAAATATTAATTTTATGTTGTAGGAGATTAGTATCTTATGCTATAGACATAAAATATGTGGAGTTTATTTTATTAAAAAATAAAAGATAAATAAATGAGTGAGTTTCACATGTTTTATATCTATGACATGAGATATTAATTTCATATAACATGAGACCAATATTCTCCTAAAGCTGATGGATGAAAATATGATATGTCACGATTTACGACCTATATTAAAGTTTACGCCGGGGGGGGGGGGGGGGGGGGGAGGATAACAAAAATTGTGAGAGAATCATGATTTTTAGAAATATGGTGAGAAAATTACTTTTCCAGAAATATTATCAAAAAGTTGTTTGATATGTCAAAATTTCTAGAATTTTGTCCCAAAAAAAATATAAATATTTCTAACACTTGGGATTCCAAGAATACCACCCCTTTGGTGCTATTCTTAGATGACATTTTGGGGGGGAAAAATTATACACAAAATAAAAATTCAAGAAAATCAGATTTTCGAGAAAATTTTCAGAAATATTCACAATACGTGGGTAAATAGGATAATCACTGTCACTTTTTCGAAAATCTCAAAAATATTTCCCCATCAAACACCCCCTAAGTTCTATGAGAATTAAACCTCATCAATTATGAATTATGGTTTAAGCTTCTAACGAGAATTTAAATCACATAAATTGTGAATTATGATTTAAGCATATAATGAAAATTAAATCACATAAATTATGAACTATGGTTTAAGCATGTTTATTGATGTTAGATTTACCTTTGATGGAATATGATAATTGAAGGTGGTATTCTAAGGATACCTAGCCCTATAAATTACCTATGTGACTATCTACGTTGTACCGATACTTCAAAAAACTTGAAGTGTTGTGTTCGACATTCTTTGACATCCCGACACTCTCCGATATTCTCCAACACTTTGACACGCTCTGACATTAATAATATTTGAAATTTTATTACATATCAAGAAAAAAAAATGATCGATGTTTTACCAAATTGATATAATCAAAATTTAAAAAAAAATACGGAATAAATCTCATTGGAGTGTATAAGAGATTTTCAATTTGAAAATATAATAATAAATATTTACATTTTATGTTTCTTTGCAAAATTGATAGATATAATAAGTTTAATTTTATTGTTTTGTTAAATTATTAAATATTAAATATAATATATACTATATAAATTAAAAATATTATTTAATATTAAAATATGTCTTAACGTGTCAAAATTTAATATTTTAAAAAATTGACATGTCATAATATCATGTTTGGTATCAGTATGGGTATAACATATGTGACCGTTGCTATGGCACCATGAAATTCAAGAATATGCTGTAGATTATCTTACACATTTTGTGACTCCAAACTTCTCAAAGAGAGTTATGTGCCTTTGATTCTAGTGCTGTGGCTGGGGATATATAAATTCGATCCTTACACTTTGTGTGTTCTTTTATTCTAAATATAAATTATATGTGTCAAATTTTATGAATTAAATTTTTAATTCCTTATTTCTATCTCTTACGATAAACGTAAATATAATAAAGTATAAAATCAAAGTACTCAAGACAATACATTCGCAATTCCAGATTGATTATTTTTCACGTTGGCTCGTGATTCAGTGCAGCGTTAACAAACATTTTCACAAACACTTGGTTGGCATTTAGCAATGGCGTCGGCACTGTTCTCCGCAATCCTCCACAAGTCTCGGAACTTCACCGCAACTTTTCTTCTTTCAAAACGATGCTGCTCCACAGACACGAACCCAAGAAACCTCTTCTCCAGAATCAGTCCCCTCGGAGACCCTTCAATCAACGTTGTTCCCGTTCTCGACAAGTGGCTCGAAGAAGGTAACGCCGTCGACGGCCTCCAGCTCCAGCGCATCATCAAACACCTCCGTTCCCGCAACCGCTTCACTCAAGCACTTCAGGTCACTTAACTTTTTATTTTATTTTTATTTTTATTATTTCTTCTGCTCTTAAGTTCTCTGCTTCTTTGCTGAGCAAAACAATTGGGGATTTTGAACCTCTGATTTCTGAGTCACATTGCAACAACACCAATGTGCCAAGGCTTCCCTTCACCTAATTCAAAAAAATGGAGAAAAAAGAAGTGTCAGTTTTTCTTGATTCATTGAAGGTTCAATTTTTTATGCAAACACTATCTTTATCACATATGAAGGTGACTGTACACAAATGCTGGTGTTATCGTAACTTTGATTCGTATAATCAGTCTCATACAAATGTAAGGTAAAGCTGCTTACTATAGACTTATAGTGGGATGAGATTGCCCTTTTAGTACCTTTATTACATATACAGAGTACTTAATGTTCAAACTCTTGTTATAGCATAAGTGATTAGTCACAATATGACAATATCAAACAAGAAATGCTATATTATGTTTCTTTCTTTAAATCACTCCACTTGTTCCTGGTTATCCTGTAATTGCTGAGATATCTTCAATCTTGGTATGTTCAGGTTTCTGAGTGGATGAGTAGCAAAGGGCTATGCCCAATTTCATCAGGTGACCAAGCTGTGCAACTAAATCTTATTGGTAGAGTTCTTGGACTGGATATTGCGGAGAGGTACTTTCAGAATTTGAGTGGTAAAGATAAAACTGAAAAGCTTCATGGTGCTCTTTTGAATTGCTATGTGAGAGAAGGATTGGTTGATAAGTCACTCTCCCAGATGCAGAAGATGAAGGACATGGGTTTTGCTTCTCCTCTCAATTACAATAATATAATGTGTCTCTATACGCGAACGGATCAACTTGAGAAAGTCCCTGGTGTTTTGGCATCGATGAAAGAGGATGGTGTTTCTCCTGACATTTTCAGCTACAGGATTTGCATTAACTCTTATGGTGCGAGATCTGACATTGTGAGTATGGAGAAGCTGTTGGAGGAAATGGAAAAGGAAAGCCACATTGACACAGACTGGATGACATATTCTTCGGTGGCTAACATCTATATAAAAGCAGGCCTGAAGGAGAAAGCTCTGATCTACCTGAAGAAGTGTGAGGATAAGGTAGACAAACGCAATACAATTGCCTACAATTATCTGATTTCACACTATGCAAGTCTTGGGAACAAAAATGCCATGATGAGACTTTGGAAACTCCAGAAAGCCAACTGTAAGAAGCAACTTAATAGGGAATATATAACCATGTTGGGTTCTCTGGTGAAGCTTGGGGATCTTGATCATGCTGAAAATTTACTTGCTGAGTGGGAGTTATCTGGTAACTGCTATGATTTCAGAGTGCCAAACGTCCTTCTGATTGGGTATTCCCAGAGGGGATTGATTGAAAAGGCGGAAACAATGCTCCGAAGCATGGTCGAGAAAGGGAAGACTCCTACTCCTAACAGTTGGGCTATCATTGCATCTGGATATGTGGCAAAGGAGAACATGGTGAAGGCATTTCAGTGCATGAAGGAAGCTGCAGCTGTGCAAACCGAGAATAAAGGTTGGAGACCAAAACCAAATGTCATTTCCAGCATATTGAATTGGGCCACTATTAATAGAGATATAGACGAAGTAGAAGATTTTGTCAATTCATTAAAGACTGTAATTTCAATGAATAGGGACATGTACCTGTCCTTGATCAAGATATATGTTAGATGTGGGAAAGAAGTGGATCGGATTTTAGAGATTATGAAAGCTGATAATATAGAGCTCGATGAAGAGATAGAGGAAATTCTTAACTTAAGATTGTAATAATCTTTTTTCTCCCACTAGTTTTTTGGCTTACAGACATTTCAGTGTTCAACGAAGTACATAACCAGAGAGATCTTAAGATAGCAATATTTGTGTTTAGATCTATTTGAAAGCTGCTTTTATCGGCATAGGCCAATGCTGTTGTCTAAAGAAGACTGGGCCTCTAATGTTGTAACATCATAGTTGGAGGGCAATTTACTGTGTATTGAAGAATTAGGTGATAAGGTCACGGGGATCATGACTTCACCACATTTTATGTCTCGTATGAATTTTTCTGGCTTTGGGGATTGCGTATGCCACAGATAGGATTTATTTGTTCGAACAGATAAGTTAGATTTTTACTTGATGGTGCGACTTTTGTTATGCTGATCTATTTATCGAATTACAACTAGAATTTTGCTTTTCTGCATTTGCATTGAGCAAGTGAGCATTTAAACTATGATGCATTCAAGTAACTTGAAATCAATGATGGAATTGCATGTGTTGCCTTGCCAACAGTTACGCAAGGTAAGCGCGCAAGTATACGCGACAACAAGTAATATAGGGCTTGTTTGAGTCCCAGTTATTGTTCTCACAAAGATCTTTTGGCAAAAATTCAAAAACACAAAGTACAAGTGCTTAAACTTATTTTATGAAAAGAAATATAAAAGTAAAACTAATCTAAAATAATACTGATCACGTTACTCTATTTTTGTTTTTAGAATTTTTTGAATTAAGTTCTTGAGCTAAAGGATGAAAAATAGTAAGAAAGCAATTTAAGTATCTGATTTGTCTATTTTTGCTATAAAAATATTTTTATAAAAAATGTAAAACAGAATGATGATTTGAAAATTAATAATCAGAAGAAAAAAAACTGAGTTGGTAAAAATGTGGAAAAAAATTACGTTGGGCTTCGGTTTACCTTCCTAAGCCAATGGATTGACTGCCAATTTTAGATTACTAAAATTTAATTCTCAGTTAACGGATCACTCTTGTTGATTTTAATCTTTTAAAATTATTTTATCCCAAACAATCATTTGCACATCTCTGTGCTAAATGAAGTGAGGACTCATGCATTTCAAGTCCAAAGTTACATAGTGGTTGTCCTCATCTCTAAGTGACTACTCTTGAATAATCTCTTATTCAAGTCCATGTGCTTAATACAATTCCAGAATTAATCACCTCTCGATGACTTCATCCTAACACAACATCTATCATCAGGCCTCAATGACAGAATGTTTAAATACAAGCATGGCATTAAACATCTGAGAATTAAAAATTAACAAAAGTAATTAGCAATCAACCATCACTAAGGTTCGGGTAACCTAGACTCAACCTTCAAAGGTTTAGCTTATACCCATAAGGGTTGAGCTACAAACAGCAAACGAAAATCAAAAGGAAATTACAACTAACAACTGGAAATTACGAGGCAGAAGCTATATCCAGAAATTAGCTCTGCTACAGTGCTCAAGAAAAATTACAAAGAGAAAAAAATCCCAAGATCAAGACAGACACAATGAGAAAATCGAAAGACGAAGAGAAAAAAAAAAGTGCCTACAATGCTTTTCTCCTACTCCTTTATATCTGCTACACGCTCTTTCCAATCAGTTACAGGTAGTGTTTGGCATTTTCTCTTTCAATCAAAATGGCTAGGGTCAGTGTTTTGGTTGAATCGCTCACTTAAGGGACCATCGGTGAGGGCTAAGGCTCGATGGGTACCAAGATTAAAGACTCGGTGTGGCTTGGTGGTTTGGTTGTAAAAAGAAATCAAGAGTGGAAAGCTTGGGGTTATGGTTAGATGGGAGTGGGTTGGTTCACACAGTGAAGGCTAGGGTTCGCAAGTCTCAGACTTTGTTTCCACGCTACGGTGTCTTTCTTTCTTCTTTCTTTCTTTTCTTTTTCTTTCTTCAACTGGGCTCTTTTGCCTTGCCTTACAAAATCCAGCCCACTTCTTTTCTTCTTATATTTTCTCTTCTTTTCTTTCTTCCTTCTTTGCTTTGGAAAGTTTTAAGATGTGGGCCTGAAAACAAAATGAAGCCCATTAGCACTTAAATTAGTAACCCTTCAACTCAATGTAATTGGGGTATCTACTAACACAAGGAGTATTCTTTTTTACATTTTCATATTAGAAACTATATGTCTTAACTCTCATTTCATGGACTTACCACAACCCCAAACTTACATTGTTGCTTATCCTCAAGTAACAGAGCAAATCAGCACATGGATTTATCAGAATAACCATTCTCCATAATCAGAAAAATTTCATTACATCACTCATTGTTACTCAGAATCAATAACTGTCTAAAACACTTCTCAACAGCAATTCAACTTCCAACTTTTCAAAACTTTTCAATAATTCAACTTAACACAAAGATCAGAGGAACAAGGGTGTGTATTTAGTTCAGCAGTTAATCAATCACTAACCAGGCAACTTGGTGATCCTTTTATTCCATAAAAATACTCAACCAACAATGTGTGAATTTCAAATGCATGGATGTCTCAATGACTGTAGAATAATGACAAAAGAGAGATCTTAAATTTTTTTTTCATTTCTTAATACAAAATGCAAAACTTTGCAACAGACAATAGAGATGACAACTTTTCACATCCTCACTTAATCAAAGTATTCACTCAATGCTCAAGGGTTCTGTTTCTCTCAATCCAACACTAGGAAAAGATTTAGCATAGGCTTGATAAGATGCCCTTGTCTCCTAAGTGACACACAGACTTAAACTTAATCAAAGGGACTTCCATAGGTTGTAACTGGGCTGTGGTGAAGGTGGGGAATTTATCAAGAATTGGCTAAATTAGTTACGATGGAAATGAAACACAAATCATGAAGCATAATCAAACAATTCAGTGGCTGCTACTTTGACAGCTATTTTTCACTCTTTGAAATCTTTTCTTTCTTTCTTTCTTTTTCTTGAAAATTTTTTCAAGGGCAAATTTTCTTACAGTAAATTTTTCTCAAACCCTCCAAGTATTTTGCCAAATCTTTTTTTTCTATTTTTTTTATGAAGCCAACTTTTCATTTTATTAGTAGTCTCTTGCTTTCCATTCCTTTTGTTTTTTTTGCAGCCATCAACATCTTGCTTCTTTTTCCATTTCCATCATAACTAGGAGGTGTGGTGGATTGTGGAATAAAATAAAATGTGGGTATGTGAAAAGAAAAGGTCAAAGACTCAAATTGGGTTTTCAATGGATGATGAATTAAGGATGAATTTTTGGGTTGAAAGTGGTTAAAAAAAACAAAAAAAAAATGCCCTCATCATTTTAAACTTAAGCAAGTGCTACACTTCATCAACTTAGCATCAAAGCAAGTTCTGCCTCACTAACCCAGTGAAGACCTCTCATCCAAAATATATTTGACTGTGTAGGCTCAATGACTCACTGTGTTGGGTCTAGTCACTATCTCCAATGCCTATTGTTACCACTTAACACTCTGCATCAATCAATTCATTTTCTCAATCTCTCACTACTATTACCATACGACCATTAATCCACTTATGTCACTCTTCATCCACTTATGTCACTCTTCAAAACTTCCAGCTACCTAATTGTGACACAGATCGCTCACTACTAAACACAATACAACCTTCGATTCACTCTAAGATTCAAACTTCAACTCAACAAAACAGCAAACAACAAAGACAAAACCTAACCATATAGCAACTAATAAACTCAACAAAATAGCAAAGATCACAACTATTCACAAGGCATCTAAACAACAAAAGAAAAAAAACTAAAAACAACAAATTTAAAACAAGCAGAATTCATGAATTCACTCCCCCAAACTTAGAGGAAACAGTGTCCTCACTGTGGCTTTACCAGATTACCAGAAAACATTGGCAGAAATTAAGAACAAGGTAACCTGGGGCCAGAAGAGCTTCTGGCCTATTCTTCCTCAAAATTTGAGTCTCCAGACTCAAATTTGTCAATGTCTTCAGATTTTGAGCACTCCTCTTCATCCTCAGCTTCTTGCTCACTTTCTTCCTCCACCACAGACTTTGAGCTAGGTCTTCCTCACGTTCTTGAAGTGGTTGGTGTATTCTCCTTCTAGGTAGGATGAGGAGGAGGACTTGTTGCCTTAGCTTGAAATTGCTCAACCTGTGGATCAGTAAAAATAGAAACAGGAGGCCAAGTCAAATTTTGAGGAAATGGAGGTAAACCAGGAAAATTGACAAATGTCTTTTTCAAAAATTCATTCAATATCCTATCCCTCTCAGCAATGTAATCATTCAGCCTGACCAGATCATACGTGAAAGTATAAAATTGCTCATATGACTTGTGAAACAACAAATCAGTCTTCTGATTGTGTTCTTACATTTGTGTGAGCAACAGGTAAATGTATGTCAAATCATTATGCAACTAGCCAAGGGGGTAGTGGTTTAATGCAGGGGCAGCCATCTTCTCAACATGTTCCCTCACATTCTCTATTTTTTTGTTTTCTACTACTCTCACCTCTTTCAACAGATTTGCCTTTGTTATCTTGATTAGAAGACTGAGTCTTCTTATCATCCACTACTCTTTTACCTTTTCATTTCAGGCTGAGGTGAAGCAATGCCCTATTTGAGTTTATTTATGATGGAGATGGTGATGGCCTCAGTGACATGGTAAAACTCATCAGCAGAATTGGCCAACACATCTTTAGATTTACTAAACTCTGAGATAAAGCTGGGGAACCTAAGCTTTCCTTTATTCCAACTAGCACATGCACCTATTCCCTTAGACATCAATTTGGAAGCATCTATAGAAACACCACAATAAAATAGCTTTGTCTCTAATCACTAGGTGCACATGTGTAGTAGGAAGCAGTCTAGCTCTAAGAAAATGATACCAGACCTTTGTTTTTTCATTCAAATTTTTTTTTTTTGCAATGTGCAATTTTTGTCATGAATTTCCCATTGAGCACCAGGGACACCTATCACATTTAACACCTCCAACATAAACTCATGATCATTTATCTTTTGAAACTTTTCAAACTCATCCTTAGGATTCTTGGACAATGAAAATAATTCCTTAATGGCTTTGGGAGAGAATGAGATTTTTACACCCCTACACACTACTTCAATCTGATTTCTGTCTAGTACCTCTAAGTAAAATTCTCTCACCACAATGATGTTGGCATCCTCTTTAGGATGAAGGTAGAACTTTTCCCAATGTCGGGCTCTCACTACCTCATAAACATACTTAGGGTATGAGGTGTGTTCCTCAAATCCTTTGTCTGGCGTAGGGTCTCTTCCTCTCATAACCTTTTCATACCTCTCTAAAGATTTTTCAGAGGTAAAAGAGGACACTGAATGGCTATCAGGATTAGGGGTTGGAGGATTGAGTTTTTGACCGTGTGGTCCTCCACTACGCAAAATACCCTTCCTAACCATTAGGGTGAGTGACACTAAAAACACAAAAAATAAAAATAAGAAAGAGACTTAAAAACAGCAAAGGGAAAAAAGGAAAAATAGCACCAGGTTGACAACTTTTGAACTCTCCCCCAAACTTAAACCTGATCTTCTGCTAGAAGTCAGCCAAGGTTGCACTTAACACCTGTAACAAGAGAGATAAAAGTGTCAGTATCAGATGCCGTATTTTTTTTAATTACTTTAACTAAACAAAAAAATATCAAAAATCAAATGTCAAAAAGATAATCAGCAACAAAAATTAATCATAAAATACAAGGTAACCATGCTTAATTTTAAAGTCTCAAGCTAGACTTTTCACAGCTGTCTTTGTCTAATGGGTGGGAGGGTCAATGAGGGAGATGGAAATATGAGCTTTCTCAATTGACTCCCCCAAATAATGCTTTAAACTTTGACCATTGTCAATGAATGTGCTACCATCTTGCTCATTCAAAATATCTATTGCTCCATGCAAATAGACATTTGTCACCTTAAATGGGCAGACCATCTAGATTTCAATTTACCAGGAAAGAGTTTTAATCTAGAATTGAAAAGTAAAACTTGTTGTCCCACTTCAAACTTCCTCTCTAAAATCTGCCTATTATGTCACCTCTTCATTTTTTTCCTTGTAAAGCTTTGCATTCTCATAGGCATGTAGTCTAAATTCATCCAACTCATTGAGTTGGAGAAACCTATTTTCACCTGAAACAGTGGCATCCACATTCAACTGTTTAGTAGCCCAGTATGCTTTATACTTCAATTCTAAAGGTAGATGGAAATTCTTTCCAAAGACTAACTTGTATGGGGAGCATCCTAGAGGGGTCCTATATGCTGTCCTGTAGGCCCAAAAAGAGTCATCTAATTTAAGTGACCAATCCTTCCTTGAAGGATTCACCACTTTTTTTAAAATTCTCTTAACTTCTCTATTGTTGACCTCTACCTTCCCACTTGTTTGTGGATGGTAAGCAGTAGCAACCTTGTGCTTGACTCTATATTTAGCTAAGAGGGCTTCAAACTGCCTACTTACAAAATGTTTTCCCCCATCACTAATTATGGCTCTAGGAGTCCTAAATCTTGTAAAAATATTCTTTTTCAAGAACTTTATCACCACTTTCGAGGCATTTGAGGGTGAGGCAGCAACCTCATCCTATTTAGACACATAATCCACATCAACCAAAATGTATTGGTTGCCAAAAGATGGTGGAAAAAGGCCCATAAAATCTATGCCCCACACGTCAAAGAGTTCTATTTCCAAAATTGGTTTCAAAGGCATCTCTTGCCTCCTGGAGACATTGCCAGTTCGTTTACATCTATCACACTTATGGACATAGACATTGACATCTTTAAACAAGGTGGGCCAATAGAGGCCAGATTGCAGCACCTTTGCTGCTGTCCTCATGCCACCAAAATGAACACCATATGGTGAGTCATGACATTGCTTTAAAATCTCCTCTTTTTCTTCCTCTAACACACATCTTCTTAGGATCTGATCTGCACATATCTTAAACATATATGGCTCATCCCATAGGTAAAACCTGCTGTCATGCACCAACTTTTTCCTTTGTTGGTAATTTAACTCCTTAGGGAGCACCCCACTAACTAAATAGTTAGCTATGTCAGCAAACCATGGGGTGGTGTTAGTGGAAACTAGAAATAGTTGCTCGTCAAGGAAGGTTTCTTTTATGCCTAGCTTAACTTCATTTTCACCTTGCTGCTCTTCATTTAGCCTAGACAAGTGATCAACCACTTGATTTTCTGATCATTTCCTATCTTTAATCTCCATGTCAAACTCTTGTAGGAGAAGGACCCATCTAAATAGCCTAGGCTTTGAATCTTTTTTTTTTCTACCAAATACTTGATGGCTGAATGGTCAGTGTACACAGTGACCTTAGTGTCTACCAAATATGACCTGAATTTGTCAAAGGCAAACACTACAGCCAACAGTTCCTTTTCAGTCACTATGTAATTGAGTTGTGCTCCATTCAAGGTTCTGCTAGCATAATAAATAGAGTGAAAAAATTTATTTCTTCTTTGTCCTAACACCCCTACTACCCAATCACTTGCATCGCACATTAACTCAAAGGGCAGTGACCAGTCAGGGGCTATTATTATTGGAGCAGAAATCAATTTCTATTTTAGCTCCTCAAAGGCTTTAAGACAAGCCTCATCAAAATGGAAAGGGGTGTTGGCTTCAAGTAAGTGACTAAGAGGTTTACAAATTTTTGAAAAATCCTTTATGAACCTCCTATAAAAACCAGCATGCCCAAGGAAGGATCTAATGCCTTTTATATTAACAAGAGGGGCAACTTTTCAATCTGGTCTATCTTGGCCTTATCAACCTCTAAACCAGCTTTGGAGATCCTATGTCCTAGCACTATGCCTTCCCTCACCATAAAATGACACTTCTCCCAATTGAGGACCAGATTTGTCTCCTGACACCTTTCTAACACTTTTCCCAAGTTTCCTAAACACTCTTCATAAGAGTCCCCAGAAACACTGAAGTCATCCATGAAGACTTCCACAAATTGCTCTATCATATCAGTGAAAATAGCCATCATGCACCTTTAAAAGGTGGCTGGTGCATTGCACAGCCCAAAGGGCATCTTCCTAAAGGCAAAAATGCCATAGGGACATGTGAAAGTGGTCTTTGGCTGGTCTTCAGGGGCTAAGGCTATTTGATTATAGCCTGAATAGCCATCAAGAAACAGTAAAATTGCCTACCAGCCAATCTATCCAGCATCTGGTCTATAAAAGGAAGGGGAAAGTGATCCTTTCTAGTGGCTTTGTTGAGTTTTCTGTAATTCTTGCAGATCTTCCAACCAGTGACGGTCCTAGTGGGTATCAATTCTTTCTTTTCATTTTCCACAACAGTGATCCCACCCTTTTTAGGGACACACTACACTGGGCTGACCCAGTTGCTGTCAGAAACAGGAAATATTACCCCAACATCCAGCCACTTAATAATTTCCTTCTTCACTACCTCTTTCATAATTGGGTTAAGTCTCCTCTACTGCTCCCTAGAGCTGTTGTTTGGGTCTGTAAGAAGGATTTTGTGCATGCAATAGGATGGGCTTATACCTCTAATGTCTGCTAAGGTCCAACCTATAGCTTTCTTGAATTTTTTTAACACAGCCAGCAGTTGTTCCTCCTCCAAAACAGTGAGCAAATCAGACACAATGACTAACAAAGTGTCTTTTTCTCCTAAGTAAGCATACCTAAGATGATTAGGCAGAGGCTTAAGCTCTAAAACATGAGGCTTTTCAATTGAAGGTTTGGGAATTTTTGAACCCTCTTTTGGTAAACTCTAAGGACTCAAAGTTATTATTTTTTCAATTGGGAATGGACCTAGTGTTCAACCATTTGAACCATTCTTCTACATCTGTCCTATTGACCTCCAAGCTTTCACAAACTTTGATTTCTAATGGGTCCACTAATTCTACCTCTATCATCCTTTGCTGGACAGTATGGTCAATCACATCTAGCATTGAACACTCCTCTAAATCTCTTGGGTATTTTAAGGATTTTAAAATGTTTAATTTTACTGGTTCCCCATTCACATTCATGGATAACTCTCCCTCTTTAGCATCTATCACAGCCCCAGCAGTGGCTAAGAAAGCCCTCCCTAAAATTATAGGCACTTCCCTATCCTCCTCATAGTCCAAAGGATAAACTTATCCACCTTGACCAAAACATTTTTTATCTTCCCTTCAGGATAGACTAGGGACCTATCTGCTAATTGCAAGGTAACAATTGTGGGGCTAGGTTCTCCTACCTTTAGCTTCTTAAAAACACTCATAGGCATCAAATTAATGTTAGCACCTAAGTCACACAATGCTCTACCTACATAATGGTCTCCTATGGTGCAAGGGATTGTAAAGCTGCCTGGGTCTCTTAATTTGGGAGGTATCTTGCTAAGCATATATTGACTGCTCTCTTGTGTAAGAGCAACAGTTTCAAACTCCTCTAACCTCATTTTCCTAGAAAGTATCTCTTTCATAAACTTAACATAAGTTGGCATCTGCTCTAAGGCATCTACAAATGGAATATTGATGTGAAGTTGTTTTAGGAGGTCAAGAAACTTCCTAAATTGGTGATCTTGCTTCTGCTTTTGAAGCCTTTGGGGGAAAGGTGGTGGAGGTCTGTTGTTCACAGCATGTGTTTCAACACTTGGCTTAAATGTTTGGCTTTTTGGAGGTAATTTTTCCTTTGGCATAGTCCCTAAAGTATGGTCTATTTGTGTCTGAATTTCTAGTTCAACCAGAACAGGAAAAAGGATCACTAGTCTCGGCCTCTTGGTGGCTGTCATAGACTATTGGTGGCTGACCAGTTTCTAAATTTCTCTCTTGATTTGAACCTTTTTTTGCTGCAGTTTTTCTTCTTCCCTTTTCTTTAATGTTGAGGGTCTAACCACAGCTTTTGGGTAGTTCACAAATCTGCCATTCCTTAGCTCTATCATGTGACATTGCTCATTCTTTCTCCTAGGCTCTTCAGTGTTACTAGGCAAAATACTGGGGGGTCTGCTACTCAGAGCATTGGCTAAATGGCCTAATTAGGGCTCTAAATTCCTCAAGGATGCATGAATGCTTTGCATAATAGCCTCCAAGCTATTTTGCTTAGCCTCATTCTTAACTAAATACTCCCTCAACAAAGTTTCTAAGGATGAAGTTGAAGAGGAAGTTATCTCACCAGATTGGTTTTGAGGATATGGGGATGAAGGCTGAGCAACAGGTAGCTGCCTTGGAGGGTGTTGATAGTTTTGAGGAGGAAAAGGTTGCCTGGTTTGGGCATTAGAGGATCCAGCTTGCTGCCCTTGCCCTTGAAAATATTGGGGTTGTGGATTCTGCCTCCAAGAATTATTGAAAAAATTATTATGGTTCCTATTAGAGTTTCCCACAAAGTAAATAGACTCTGGGTTGGATGGGCAGCTGTCAAACAAATAGGGCCCACTACAGAAAACACAAGTTTCACTTGAGTTTACAACATTGACTTGAGGTTGGGACATTTGAAATTGAGGCTGAGACAATCTTACCTCATTTGCTTGACCTTGGTTTCTCACTAAATTGGATAGTGCATCAAACTTGGCTGACAGGGCTGTTACAGAATCTACCTCGTGCAAACCAGCCACTCTTCTTGACTGATTTCTCTCAATAGGCAATTGAGAGTAATTATGTGTCATTTGTTCCAACAACTCATAAGCTTGATTAAATGACCTGGACATAAACATGCCATTAGCAGCAGAATCTGCCAAGGCTCTATTTTGGGTGCTGAGGCTGCTGTACAAAGTTTGTAACAGTGCCCAAGAGGGTAAGCCATGGTTGGGGCATTGCTTTAGGAGAATTTTAAACCTCTCCCACACATCCACTAGAGTCTCACCATCCTTCTGCATGAAGTTAGTGATCTCACCTCTGGTTTGTACTATCTTATTGGATGCGAAAAACTTCATGATGAATTTCTCAGCTAAGGCATGCCAAGTGGTTATGGAGTTGGATGGAAGGGAGTTCAACCACTCTTTGGCTTTGTCAGCTAGTGAGTGAGGGAAAAGTTTTAAACTCAGCACATCATCTTAGATATTAGGATTTCTATATGTGTTAGCAACTTCTATGAAGTTCCTAAGGTGTTCATGAGGATCTTCCAACAGTAAACCATGGAACTGCCCCATATTTTGGAGCATTGTGAACATCACAGGTTCTAATTTAAAAGGCACTCCATTAACAGGCTGGGCAATACTTGGGTTTAACTCATCCAACACAGGTATGATAAAGTCCATCATGAACCTATCATTGTCATCCATTGGCTGGTTTTCTATCCTCTCAGGTCCTCTCTCATTATCATTTCCATATCCTAAGTTCTCCATTTCTCCAAAATTAGGATTTAGGATCTGCCTATTTGCTCTCTGGGTTCTTCTTCTAAGCCTAAAAGTTCTCTCTGGTTCAGGGTCAAAAGCTTCTAAGAAAGGGTGTGGAGATGCACTCGTGCACCCTTTGAACTTAAAAAAAAATTAAACCTGACTAGCTTAAACAACCAAGCTTTCTATCAGCAGTTTCTAAAAAAAATTACAAACAAGCAGAACAGAGAATTCAAAAACTGAAAACGCAATAGTATCCCCAAACAAAATTGTAAAACAGTAAAAAAAATACAAACTAAAGGTATGAAACTAATAATAAAAATAAAAGATTGACACGAAAAAATTAAGAAACAAATTAACAGCTATGAAACAATAAACTAAAAAAATAAATGACAAAACAACTATATAAAACATTACAGAAAATCAGAATCTTAATAGAACTAAACTCAAGCTACCACTATTCAAAAAATACAGCAATATAAACTAACACACTGAAGAAATAGAATTAAAATAAGTTAATAATGAAAATAGCAAAAAGAATTAACTCATAAACAGCAATCACACAAAGAAATCTGACAATGTATGCCTTCAATCCCCGGCAACGGTGCCAAAAACTAGTTGCCTTGCTAACAGTTATGCAAGTAAGCGCATAAGTATACGCGACAACAAGTAATATAGGGCTTGTTTGAGTCTCAGTTATCGTTCCCACAAGGATCTTTTGGCGAAAATTCAAAAACACAAAGTGCAAGTGCTTAAACTGAGTTTATGGAAAGAAATATAAAAGTAAAACGAATCTAAAATAGTACTGACCACGTTACTCTCTTTTTTCTTTTTAGAATTTTCTGAATTAAGTTCTTGAGCTAAAGGATGAAAAATAGTAAGAAAGCAATTTAAGTATCTGATTTGTCTATTTTTTCTATAAAATGATTTTTATAAAAAATGTAAAATAGAATGATGATTTGAAAATTAATAATCAAAAGAAAAAAAAAACTGAGTTGGTAAAAATGTGAAAAAATTAGGTTGGGCTTCGATTTACCTTCCCACAGCAATGGATTGACTGCCAATTATAGATTACTAAAATTTAATTCTCAATTAACGGATCACTCTTGTTGATTTTAATCTCTTAAAATCATTTTATCCCAAACAATCATTTACACATCTCTGTGCTAAATGAAGTGAGGACACTCATGCATTTCAAGTCCAAAGATACATGGTGGCTGTCCTCATCTCTAAGTGACTGCCCTTGAATAATCTCTTATTCAAGTCCATGTGCTTAATGCATTTCCAGAATTAGTCACCTCTCGATGACTTCATCCTAACACAACATCTACCATCAGGCCTCAATGACAGAATGTTTAAATAAAAGCATGGCATTAAACAACTGAAAATTAAAAATTAACAAAAGTAATTAACAATCAACCATCACTGAGGTTCGAGTAACCTAGACCCAACCTTCAAAGGTTTAGCTCATACCCATAAGGGTTGAGCTACAAACAACAAACAAAATTCAAAAAGAAATTATAACTAACAACTGGAAATTACAAGGCATAAGCTATATCTAGAAAATAGCTCTACTACAGTGCTCAGAAAAATTACAAAGAGAAAAAAAATCCCAAGATCAGAACAGACACAATGAGAAAATCGAAAGACGAAGAGAGAAAAAAAGTGCCTACAATGCTTTTCTCCTCTCCTTTATAGCTGATGCTCTCACATGCAGAGACAATTCACACCTCCGCCAGCACGTGTGCTACACGCTCTTCGCAATTGGTTACGGGTAGTGTTTGGCATTTTCTGTTTCAATCAAATTGGCTAAGGTCAGTGTTTTGGTTGAATTGCTCACTTGAGGGACCTTGGGTGAGGACTAAGGCTTGATGGGTACCTAGATTAAAGACTCGGTGTGGCTTGGTTGTAAAAAGAAATCAAGAGTGGAAAGCTTGGGGTTATGGTTAGATGGGAGTGGGTTGGTTCACACAGTGAAGGCTAGGGTTCGCAAGTCTCAGACTTTGTTTCCACGCTGTTGTGTCTTTCTTTCGTCCTTCTTTCTTTCCTTTTCCTTTCTTCAACTGGGCTCTTTTGCCTTGCCTTACAAAATCCAGCCCGCTTCTTTTCTTCTTATCTTTTCTCTTCTTTTATTTCTTCCTTCTTTGCTTTAGAAAGTATTAAGACGTGGGCCTGAAAACAAAATGAAGCCCATTAACACTTAAATCAGTAACCATTCAACTCAATGTAATTGGGGTATCTACTAACACAAGGAGTATTCTTTTTTACATTTTTATATTAGAAACTATATGTTTTAAGTCTCATTTCATGAACTTGTCAGCAGGCATCCTTAATGTTTAAATAGCTATTTAAGGCGGAAGTTCATAATATCTAAAAAATATCTCTGAATCTTAGAATATTTTGAAAGATCTTTAGGATATATCATGTAATCAACGAGTGATCTAATTAAAGAAATATTAGGAGTTAATTTTTATTCATTTTCTTATTTTATTAGGACTGTTAGTCTTATTCTTTGGCGTAGTTACCTTTTGGGACTTCTGCTGGGTTTCCTCATTTTCATCCTGTGTTGTTAATGGGGTTTGCTTCTCAAGATGCGTCTTCCTTCAGGTCCTGTGATAAACCCTTGGTTTACCATGGTTTTAGGCTTAATTATACTTGAAATATATCATGAATTGCATGGAAATTAGGGTTTTATACCTTAAAGTTACTATAATTGAATATCTTTCTAACATGTTGTCATATTTCTTGTAACATCCCACGTAATTAGGGAAATACATAAAATACCATAAAGTATAAGAATGCACATGTGGAAAATTTAATATAAATATATATATATATATATAGATTGCTTGTTGGCTTTCGATTTTGTTGAGAACTAGCATAGGATTAAAATTTAGTTAGAAAATTATTGAATTATAGTAATAAGTAGGGACTTATTTTAGACATATGAAACTTTGATTATAAAGTATAGGAATGTATACACTATACCATAGAAAATAAAAGAAAATATGATGTTACTTAGACCATATATGGATCGAAAATTTTATAGGTTAGGAGCTAAGTAGTAGCACTTGTGGGCTGCAAATGTATTGGTCCCTAAAAAGTCTAAGGTGGCCGAATCATAGGGCCTTGAGGAGCACCTTGGGTTCAGCCCAAAATTTGCCTAACTTTGTTGTACTTGTGTCTCATCCTAGTAGTCCATTTAGGAAACACTTCATTGGGTTAAAACCTACACATGTGCGCTTGAGGAGTGTCACAAATTCTGATGTTTTATTGAAAATTTTAACCTTGCAAGTCAGCCCTAGACCCTTGTCACCTTGATTTTATCCTAAGGAATTCTCTAAGGCAAAGCCCCATTGGTTAGGAATCTCCACATGGCCTAGACTCCCTTGGTTCCCTTCCATTGGTACGCCTAGGACTTATCCACAAGGCTGAAACCATAGCCTGAATTCTGGTCAAAA